GAGGACGACGATGGCTCGTGGGTGTCCATCTTCGGGAAGGGGAAGTCTGTGCTGGCTCGGTGGTGGTCGTGGTGGTGAAGGTGGTAGGCGGTTAGGCGGTGAGCGGGCAAGGACGAGGACGTGACGACACTCACCGACCCGTCTCGTCCAAGATGGCAGGCATACGCCAGGGCGCCGACGGTGTTACGTGGGAGAACACTCAGATCCGGGGTGCGGGGAGCGACGGCCAGCACGTACAAGCTGTCGCATGCTCGCCCGCGTCGTTCATGTAGCAGAGAGGGTGTGGGACCAGTGCAGAGCCGCTCCCGCGATCATATGCGCTGCAAGGCGTTGCAAAGGCGTGTCTTCGAGCCGCCTTATCCCGCGCGTGTCCCACACGTGTTGATGGATCACCGGCGATGGTGTGTGCGTATGGCGAGCCTATCATTCATACTCTGGAAGGGGCGAAACGGACGAGAAGTGAGTTGGCGGACAGTTGGCCGCCGGGCGAGAGGACCTGTGATCGAGGCACCCGCGCGTCTTACGGCCACCGCGCCTCTCGAGTCCACATCCACAGGCGCCGCGCGTGATCGCAGGCCATCCCAGGGCGCCTTCGCAAGGCCCGCCTTGTATTGCGGATATGCACGGCGTCATCCACCGAGGTTGAGACCGCGTCCACGCCCTCTCTAGGGCGGCAATGACGATGCTTCGTTCATTTCCCCCATTTCATCTACGGCGTATAGAAGCACGCATAGCGGCCAGCGTCATTGTCACACACGAGGCACGATGCACTCACCCCGAGTCAGTATTGGAAAATCCACGGAAACGCTCCGGGGATGCGAACAGCTGCTGCCACTGTCAGGAAATTGCCGGAGCCATGGACAAGAGCGCCGCAGAAACCAGGCTTGCACTCAAAACGAGACGTCGACGACGAGCAGCACGAGGAACCGCCGCAGCTACGCTGGAAACCTGTCGCGGTGCGACAGGCCACGCTCAGTGTGTGTTCACGCGATAGGAGAGCTGAGCAGAACACGTGTTTGTTTCTCGGTACGTATATCGTCACCGCTATGACCGTAGCCTTGAGAGTCGCAGTCAAGTCGGAAGAAGGGGGATCTGGCGTTTTCACTTGAGCTGTTACACAGGCGCCCGTACGATCAAATCAAGAACAACCGATGTGAGCGAGTATTTCTACATTAGGAAGCTGCTATGCCTTGCTGAGCAGTCGGCAGAACCCCTGCCTCTGGTTTGCAACGACTGGTACCCATCGGCTTGGACAAACAAATGTTTGCGCACTCTGCGCCCCAGCTCGCCGAATTCAAGTCAGGGCTGGAAGGACGCATACTGTGCCTCCCTAGGTAGTCGGCAGTCACGTAAAAGATATTTCGAGGTCGGCTTGACCAACGCTAAAGGACTCTATGGACAGGTTCTAGCTCGAAGCATACAATGACGCTGACGTCATTGGACAATCAGACTCCGACACAAGCTGTTACAACCGAGGCGTACACCAGCGTGACAATGACTTGAACAGGTCCTCAGGAAGGGACTGGGCAGCCGCAGGCGTTGCAGCTGCGCTCGGCGTCGCCGGCCACGGTGACGGCATCAATGCAGAACTACTGCACCGTTCGGTCTCGTTCAAGCTCGAAATGAAAGCAGGCATACGAAAACCTATGTAAACCTATGTCTATACAAAAGCACGAAGGTAATCGAGTACTGTGGAGGTAGATATTGTGAAATCGCCGACTTTGGGGGTCCGCCGACTACCCGGTAATAGGGCTTTGACATCTTGCGTTACTCTCATGTTTGTTTGTTCCCGTCCGAGGGCGCGGAGCCCATTGCTAAGAGCTACTGGAGGCTCGTTCACACTCTACGCTGTATGGAGTATAAACCCGTCGATATAAAATAAAAAAGACTACCCGGTAATAGCAGCGCGGGAACTCCCGCAAACGCCGTCAACAACCAGCATCAATCCGCGGAAGTTGTGCAGAGGTCCCGCGGCCCTTGTATTTGTCCGAGGGGTGAGGAGTGCAGACGGCCCTCTCCTTGTCAAAACTAGGGGAAGGAGAAGGAAAAAGCGGAAAATCTGGAGACAGCAGCGGGATGACGCCGATGAATGGAAAGCCAGAATGGTGCACAGCACGCGTCACTTCAAGTTCGCTCCTCCTGGTTCAGGCTCTTTCTCACAGCGCGCGGGCGCGATCCTTGACATGACGAATTCGGTGCAAGCTGGGCGCAAACATGGCGCATTCTGTGGGAGGTGCTTCTGCAGTGTATGATGCGGTGCACAATGGGATCGAAGCGCATACGATCGCGGGACGGAAGCAAAGTCAGCGGCCGGCGTTCGATCAGAAGCCCAAGGGAGTCGCGCGGGGCAATGAATCGGACGTCGACGATGCTCGCTCGGCAGCTGCCATCCCCGGGCACTCGCCTGCCACCTGCACCGGCCGCTGCAGCCCCCGCCTCGCGAGCGTCGCTGCCACTGCTGCCACTGCGCGCGCTGCTGCTGCTACTGTGTGCGCTGCTGCTGCCACTGCGTGCGCTGCTGCTACTACTGGTCGCGCCATGCCAAACACGTCGCGCCAGGACGACAAGGACCGGTCGGCGAGGGCGCAGGAACAAGAGTTCAAACGCGCGCGCGGTGCCATATCTTGCGCAGAATGCCGCCGCCTCAAGCTCAAGTGCGACAAGACCGTCCCCTGCTCGTCGTGCAAGCGCCGCGGCTGCTCGTCCATCTGCCCCAACGGCAGCCTCACCACAGGCCAGGGCACCAGGTGAGCGCGGCTGGCGTGTGGTGCGCTGTGTTGCTCACCGCGCGCAGATTCATCCTCGCAGACACCGACCGGCTGCACCGCAAGATCGCCGAGATGAGCGACCGCATCCGCCAGCTCGAAGACGCGCTCGCGATCCTGCAGTCCAGCGTCACGCGCGACCTGCACCCGCTGCTCGCGCACGACCTGCTCAAGATCAAGTCCGGCCTCGAGCTGCACTCGGCGGCGCACCTCCAGGGGCGCGCGGCACACAGCGACGACGCCGGCGAGCAGGGCGACGAGGAGTCGCAGTACATCGACGCGTTTGGCACGCTGGCCGTGCGCGACGACGGCGCGGCGATGTTCTACGGACGCTCAGCGGGGTCGGAGGTGCGTCTGCGGCCTATGATTAGTGTTGTGGCGCAGGGTGTAGCAGAAGCCCATGGCGATTGCTGGCAAGGGTGGCGCAAGTGGCGAATGGTACTTCTTCACGCTTAGAGGCGAGAACAAATTCCACAGTGCAACTACAGACCGAGAGACGATAGCAGTGACCCGCTTCCCCGGGGCTTTCTCCTTGTCTTTGTGTATCCCAGCTTCCTCTGCCTCGCTGAGGGCACAACACCCTTCCGAAGAGAGTCTGAGCCACGCCTGACTTGCGAGTTGCGCCAGCAATTGCCATTCGCTATTGTTGCGCCAATTGGGCGCAGTTCTCAACACTACATATCATACGAGTCTTAGCGGCTGACTTGCATTTGTTGACAGAGCTTGCTTCTGGTACGTCTCCTGTTTCGGTGACGTCATCTCTGTGCGTCCTCGCTGAGCAGCACACACCCTCTCCCTTCCAGGACGAGAATGAGAAATCTGGACAGCCACCGCCTGCCGCGCCGCACGCATCGCTGCCGCACGCGCTGGCCCGGCTGACGACCGCGTTCCCCGCCGCGCCGTCCGGGCTCGCGGACGCGGACGCGGACATGGACGTGCAGGAGCTGATGGAGGCGCACCTGCCGCCGTGGCCGCGCGCGGCGCAGCTGTGCGACCTGTACCTGGAGCAGGCGCCGTGGTTCTTCGGGGCGGTGACGCGGCGGCAGCTCGTCGAGGAGGTGCTGCCGCTGTTCTACGCCGAGGCGGTGGAGTACCGCGCGCACGCGGGCGCGAGCGGCAGCGGGAGCATCGAGGCGGGCGCGCAGGTGAGCAGCTCCGCGGCGGCGTTCGACCTGCAGCCGGCGCGCACGCCGGGGACGGCGCACGACCTGGCGCTGCTGTTCGTGACGTTCTGCTTCGGCGCGCTGACGGACGTCGAGCTGCCGCCCGCGCCGCACAACTCGGAGGCGGAGCAGTACTTCCAGCTGACGCGCGCGGCGCTGAACGCGGAGCCGCTGCTCGAGCGGCCGCCGAGCGTCGTGACGGTGCAGACGATGGCGTGTGCCTGGTGAGCGCTGATGGCAGGCGTAGGATCACGCAGATGTGTGTGGTGCGACGTGCGCGCGCGCGATTTGCTGGACTGACCTGTCGAAATTCGAAAGATAGGTGAGTTTCTGCAGCGTAAAGAAGTACAGAAGTACATATGTTTCTGCGGCATAAAGAAGTGCATATGTTTGTGCAGCGTAAAGAAGTACATATGTTTGTGCGATATAGAGATGACTTGGTGCCCCGCGGGATGCAGGTGAGTGAGCTCGGATTGAATCTAACACAGTCTACACCCTGTAGGCAAGTAAAATATATTTAATCAACCAGATGTCTCCTCCGAATGGCGCAATTCAGTGTAGTACAAATCCTTGCGCCGCCGCATTACAAACACGCCAAGTCGCTCAAATCCCCATCGGCTGTCATCTGCGCTCGATGGCACTGTGTCTGCTCGCGCTGCCGTCGTGTTCGCTCGTGCCACTGCCGTTCCCGCTCGCCGCCATCGTGTCTGCTCGCGCTGCCATCGTTCCCGCTTGCCGCCATTATGTTCACTCGCACCGCCATCATACCGGCCCACGCCACATTCGAATGCGCCCCGTAGCCTTTGCGCGGCTCGGCCAGGCGAATGGACCCGCACCAACAGACCGCGCGATGCAGGGGCCTGACACAACCAGCGGCATGGACGGAGACTTGCATGTGCAGTGGGTAGCCGTCGCGCCCGGGCACGCGCACGCGCAGGGGCATGCCTGGAGCAAGAGCGAGGACCAGGGCGGCGGGTGTAAGTGCACGTCGACGGCGCGCCGTTCAAAGTCATCTGCGCCTGCCGATCGCGTTTTTCTTGCCCGACCATGTGCGTTCGACCGCGCGTGTCCACACCGCTCACCCGCTTTGACCATGGTGCACCAGGTCATTAGAAACAGCGCGACGAGACAATGCGCTCCGCAAACCCTACCTTGGCATCCTTTACCGGTTCAAGTCATCTGCTACCGCTGACTGCGTCTTTTCTCGCCCGACCATGTACGTTCGACCGCGTGTGTCTGCGCCG